GAAAGTGAAAGCTAAACTGTCCTCTTCCTGCAGATGCACAGTCTTGGAACTTCTCATTGGTTGGCATAGATCCCATGCTAATAAGGGGCAGTTCCAGCACGTAGAAAGTTCTAGCTTTCTTTCCTCACTCATTCCCAGGCTCCCCTGCATCACTCTCGATGGCGCCCACTTCTCACCGCTACTCCCCACTGCCCAGGGATGAGAATCCCAAGACCCTGGAGGACCGCAAGCTGCCAGTGCGGGTGTGGATCCTGCTGGGCCTCCTGGTGTTACTGGTGGTAGGTCTGTCTGTGGCAACAGGCGTTTTGGCTGCCAAGTTCAATAGGCCAGCTTGCAAGGATGGCCTCCCGGCTGAGCAGGAGTGTCGAAACATCACCCACCTCCTGGAGCAGGAGCTGACCCAGGCCCAGGAAGTCTTACGGGGGACTGAGGCCCAAGCTGCCACTTGCAACCAGACTGTGGGAAGTCACTGCCATTCCTAGGGAGGGGCCTGTGCTTGGGGGACTCCCAGGGTCTAGATGCTTGGGGATCCCCAGGGTCTAGGTGGAGATCCAGATAGACCTTGAAACTGCCCCTAGGCCCCTGCATGGGGAGCCTGAATTTCCCCACCAGGGTATTGGGGAGCTCTAAACTCCCTCTGGGGTGCCAGTGTGGGACCCCAGAGCACCCACTAAGGGGACTCAGTATCCCCAGTAGCATGTGGATGAATCTCCAAACTCCACGACATTGGTCTAGGGCAGTGGTCGGCAAACTCACTAGTCAACAGAGCCAAATATCAACAGTACAACAATTGAAATTTCTTTTGAGAGCCAAATTTTTTAAACTTAAACTATATAGGTAGGTACATTGTTATTAACTTAATTAGGGTACTCCTAAGGCTTAGGAAGAGCCACACTAAAGGGGCCAAAGAGCCGCATGTGGCTCAGGAGCCGCAGTTTGCCGACCACGGTTTTAGACACAAAATTTCAAGCCATGCAATTCTTGACAAGGAAAAACATTAATCTAGAAAACTATTTTCTTTGACATGAGGGGGCCGGGGTGGCAAAAACAAAACCATCAGGTATGGCTTTGGGGCTGTGTTCCTCTTTTTTTTTTTTTTTAAGAGCATGTGGAGTGGCCCAGCGGGCATGACTCAGGGGTTGAGCATTGACCTATGAACCAGGAGGTCCCTGGGTTCAATTCCCAGTCAGGGCACATGCCAGTGTTGCGGGCTCAATCCCCAGTGTGGGGCATGCAGGAGGCAGCCGATCAATGATTCTCTCTCATCATTGATGTTTCTATCTCTCTCTCCCTCTCCCTTCCTCTCTGAAATCAATAAGAATATATTTAAAATGTTTTTTTTAAAAAAATAGCACATGTAGTGTATTTCAGGAAAGTTTCCCCTGTTCTCCAGATTCCCCAGTGGGCCTTCATGAAATCATCCTCTAGGCCCTTAGAGTCTAGGGGGCCTCCCTTTGGCTCTGAGAAGCTCAGTTCTTGCCCATTTCACACACACCACCTCCCCCCCTTTTTTCCCAGAGACTTTGAGAAGAGCTTACACAACCAATCTATGCCCTGTGTTTCACATAATATTTTAAAGCAACTGACTTTCCTGTTTCTGTAGCTAAACTCAATCAGCAAGGCCTCTTCCTCTTCCTGTGTTCCTCTTTTGGTCACTGGAAAACTTTGCACCAGGACCCTAGTGCAGACAATTTAATTAGGTCCTATATTTCATTTAGAAAGACTTTTGGTTATAACATCATGGTAAGTACCATTTTTTTTCTTTTCTTTATTGATTAAGGTATTACATATGTGTCCTATCACCCCACTGCCCCCCCACACCTCCACTCATGCCCTCACCCCCCTGTTGTCTGTGTCCTTGGTTAGGCTTATATGCATGCATACAAGTCCTTTGGTTGCTCTCTCCCCCTTACCCCAACCCTCCCCTACCTTCCCTCTGAGTTTTGATGGTCTGATCGATGCTTCTCTGTCTTTGGATCTGTTTTTGTTCACCAGTTTAGTATCATTTCTTATCAGGTCTGATGTATGTTACTCTTGTGGTGCCCTGCACTGTCCAATACACTTATGGCAATAAGGACTTAGGCAATAAGATATGGACATCTTCTCTTCTCTTTCTTCAATTCCCTGATATGTGATTTTCAAACAAATCAAAAGGTCTTTCTTGAAACCACCCCCCTCCGCTTTTCCTCAATGCATATGTGTGCCTCCATGTCAGCAGTTAATTTTCCCAGTTTCTCTCATGTGTGATACTTGCTAGAAATAATTTTCCTAATCAGTTTGTTAAAAAACAACAACAAACTATCTGCTAGGATCTGCCATGTCTTAAGAGGGTTATCGTGATGGTAGGTATCTTACAGGTTGCTCAATGTCCAAATTGCTGTGGCAGGAACAATAATTCTACATTTTGAGAAGAACCGTGCAAACATATTGAGACTAGCATGTGAGGAGGGGGCTGGAGAGGGATGGGAGGAGTTAGGGACAGTCAGGGTCTGGAGTGGTGGCCTGCCTGCGGGGAGGGGGCTGGGCGCTGGGGAGAGAGGAATCTCAGTGAGGAGCTGTGGGGCAGAAATAGAACAGTGGGGACCAGCTATGTTATCCTATTAACCCTGTCTATTAACTGTGACTGTTCCCTTACGATTAGGGAAAGCACATTCTAACCTGGCTGAGAGCTGTACGCACAGGGCCAATGGGAATTAACTTCAGAATGCAGTCCAGGCTCCTTTTCTGAGAGTGTCCTGTCATCTTGGGAAGATAACAACCTGGTCCCAGAGGCGCTCTCTCCCATTCGGCAGGCAATCTATCCTAATAAACTTTCACAGGATTCAACTTTGTCTCTGCTTAATAATTGATTCAAGGAGTGACAGGCACTCAGGCCCATCTGTGTTGGTTTCGGAGGGAGGGGTCCAGGCAAGAGTGGGTGAGGCTCATGGAGCAGCTGGGTGAGTTCTGTCGCCTCCATCCCGCCCTGACTCCGCCTTCTTTTCTCTTAGGCCACCACCTGGACTCCCCTTTCTCCCTGTGGGTTTCCCTGACCTGGCCAGTTCTGAGGGGCAACATGGCTGTGGGGAGGGGATGGTTAGGGGGAGGCCGGGGGCCAGGTGGCAGGGGGTGGTTCATGGGCAGCCTTAGAAGTGGGGAAGCATCAAAGTTCACACAAAGCTG